AGGTGGACTCTCAACCACTGCGCCACCAGGGAAGCCCCTCCTTCTCTTTCTTGTTTGCTATCTCAGCTTCTTCTTCCTACAGCTCCTGCTTTTATTATTTATTCTCTTCATTTATCATGTTCCAAGGATCCAGTGGGGAAGACCTGGTTAGGAATCTCCTAGTGGGAAAATGAGCAGTCCAGGATGTGCCTAAGCTCCTGGCCTTACTCAGGTCTTTCTCTTTACATCTGCCTTTGGCCAGAGTGTAGAATCCTAAACTCATCAGTTGTGGTCTGGGTGACAGAGTCAAATGACAGAAAACAAACCTACTTACAGGCAAGGATTTTTTATGACCACTTTTTGGAGAGAGCATTGTGGACATAGCAGACAATTTGAGGGTCATAGACTTCCTGGAATTGTTCTCATGAGTGTCTCTATAGTGCCAACTATAGCTTCATTCATTGTATGGTGAGTTCAGTGGTTAGAGTGTGTTGCTTATAGTGACGATGGGAGGGGTGGGACACCATCTGCTCTGCTACGGCTTCAACAAAGCTCTCCCCTTCCACAAATCTCACTATACACTGCCATTTAATCAGAGGGCCAGAGTAGGAGAGTATGAATGAATCAGGGCAAAACCATTGCCCTTTCTAGAAGAGCAACTCAAAGCGCATGCCAAGGGGATGGGATAAGAATATTTTTGAAAATGAAATATCCTGATGATAATGTTTAAGTCAAAGCTTTATTGCTGGGCCTCCCTGGTGGCGCAGTGGTTGAGAGTCCGCCTGCCGATGCGGGGGACGCGGGTTCGTGCCCCGGTCTGGGAGGATCCCACATGCCGTGGAGCGGCTGGGCCCGTGAGCCATGGCCGCTGAGCTTGCGCGTCCGGCAACGGGAAAGGCCACGACAGTGAGAGGCCCACATATCGCAAAAAAAAAAAAAAAAAAAAAAAGCTTTATTGCTAATTCTGTTGCTCAAGCTTGAAAAAGTAATTTTATGGAGACATAGTGATTGGGTGGGGACACATAAGGACTTTCTGGGGTGCTGGAACTGTTCTACATATTGATCCAGGGAGTTGTCACACAGGTGTATCCAGATGAATTTGCTTAAACTCGTTGAGCTGTACATTCAAGATCTGTGTACTTTACTTCATGTAAACTAAATCAGTTAAAAAGGGAAAAAACAAACAGACAAATCTTTCATTGCTAGTCTAATTCATGTTTGTTGCCTTGCTGGGGATTTACATATATTATACTACTTAATCTTTACAAACAGTACTGCAAGTTTAGGCACTATTTCTTTTTTTTAAATTAATTAATTAATTTATTTACGGCTGTGTTGGGTCTTTGTTGCTGCGTGCGGGCTTTCTCTAGTTGCGGCCAGTGGGGGCTACACTTCATTTCAGTGTGCGGGCTTCTCATTGCGGTGGCTTCTCTTTGTTGTGGAGCATGGGCTCTAGGCGCATGGGCTTGAGTGGTTGTGGCACGCAGGCTCAGTAGTTGTGGCTCGCAGGCTCTAGAGCACAGGCTCAGTAGTTGTGGCTCGCAGGCTCTAGAGCACAGGCTCAGTAGTTGTGGCGCATGGTCTTAGTTGTTCTGTGGCATGTGGGATCTTCCCTGACCAGGGCTCGAACCCATGTCCCCTGCATTGGCAGGCGGATTCTTAACCACTGTGCCACCAGGGAAGTCCCTAGATACTATTTCTATTTTTCATTTGAGGAGACTGATGCTCAAAAGTCATGTCTAACATCAAATAGTAATGGCATATCCAACCAGATGTGACCACATTTTCTCTGGGATATAGCACACTTGCATTTTTCCAGCTGGACAGAAACTTCATTACCATTTAATAAAAAGATAGGCTATAATTGTATAACTGACTCTTCTAATACCAGGACACTGCTCTCCCCTCCTTAAATTTCCAAAGCCTCTGTCCAATATTGTGAGATAAGGATGATAACTATAACTTACCAGCCAACCAAGATCCTGGATCTTACATCTATCATCCAGAACCTGAGATGTGTAGATTTCTCAGTGTTGGAAGTTCTCTTAAAGGCTTTTAACCCTCTGATCTTGCTTCTGGCTTTGCAGGTTGGAGTACGACTTACTGATCAATGCTGATGTGAATAGCACACAGCACCAGCAGTGGTTCTACTTCAAGGTGAGCGGTATGAGGGATGCGGTCCCTTATCGCTTCAACATTATCAACTGTGAGAAGGCCAACAGCCAGTTCAATTACGGTATGAGCTCTTGGGAAATAGAGACTTTCTCAATAACACCAAAAATGATGCCACTTTTTTTTTTTTTTTTTTTTTTAATAATACACAATGTATTTATTTATTTATTTATTTATGGCTGTGTTGGGTCTTCATTTCTGTGCATGGGCTTTCTCTAGTTGTGGCAAGTGGGGGTCACTCTTCATCGCGGTGCGCAGGCCTCTCACTATCGCGGCCTCTGTTGTTGCGGAGCACAGGCTCCAGACGCGCAGGCTCAGTAATTGTGGCTCACGGGCCCAGTTGCTCCATGGCATGTGGGATTTTCCCAGACCAGGGCTCGAACCTGTGTTGTCTGCATTGGCAGGCAGATTCTCAACCACTGCGCCACCAGGGAAGCCCTGATGTCACTTTTGAGTGCTTGAATTATTATCAGAAGCCCTGCTTGGGTTGCAAAGGGTTTGAAGTTGGGCTGACATGTTTTGGTTGCCAGGTATGGCAAGACGGCTGCCAACCTATGGTAAATTGCTACTATGGGAGGGGAAGCTTGAAACTCTCCCTCTGCTATGAAATGTTAATACCTCACATAACTTTCCACCGCTTCCTGCCTCCCTTGCCCCACCTTGAACTTTTTGAGGCCAGTGAGCCCTCTCATTTATTCCTTCTCTCCACCTCCTAAATCCCATAGGAGTAAATGTACTGATCTGTTGATATTTGTCACAGACAGGCAAACGGCACAATTCCATTGGACTACACCGATTTACACTCTCAGAAAACTCTGGAGAAAGTTTAAATTCTCCTGAATACCTGTGGCAATTTTAGAGGGGCCGTTCAAGGGACAATGACTGACTAGTAGCCCATATTTATTTTGAATGTTTCTAGAAATGGGAAATTCTGTGTGTTATTGCTGGCTCACATACTAATGTATTAGTGGCTCTGAGTAAGGAAAAAATATTCCCCGTAGCTCCAGGTCCGAGCATAGGACATTACATCTATTTTGTACTGATTAAATAGACTCTTGCTGGTATAGAAAGAGAAAAGGTGAGCCTTGACTCTTGTATTCACTTGATGCAGCGGCTGTAACAAATTGTCACACATTTTGTGGCTTCAAAGAAGACAAATATATTCTCTTACAGTTCTGGAGTCCACAAGTCCCAAATCAGTTTCACTGGTCTTAAGTCAAGGTGCTGGAAAGGCCATGCTTCCTCTGGACATTCTAGGGGATTATTTGTTTCCTTTCCTTTTCCAGCTTTTAGAGGTATGTTCCTCACATTCTTTGGCTCATGGCCCTTTCCTCCATCTTCAAAGTCAGCTGCATAACATCTTCAAATCTCTCTGCTTCGGCCACATTGCTTTTCCTCTGTAGTCAAACCTCTCTCTACCTCCCTCTTGGAAAGACATGTGTGATTGAATTTAGGGCTCACCAGGATAATCTCCCCATCTCAAGATACTTAATTTAATCATATCTACAAAGTCCCTTTTGTCATATAAGGTTAATATACAGCTTCCATGGATTAAGACCTGGGTATCTTTGAGGGCCATTATTCAACCTACCACAGCTCTCCTTTTCTATTTCCCCCCGCCCCCGACCTAATGGATTAATCCTGCCTTTATTTTGTGTAGGGATGCAGCCAACTCTGTATTCTGTGAAGGAGGCTCTTCTTGGCAGACCTGCCTGGGTACGGACAGGCTATGAAATCTGTTATTACAAGTAAGTTAGAGTGTTGTTAGCTTCCTTTGCTCTTCTGTTCTCTCTCAATTTCCTGCTTCTCCATGTTAATCTTATAAACCTGAGCAATCTGTGCTTGTCTGCTGTACTTGTCACTCTTCCAGTGGCAAATGCTCTGTCCTTCAGAAGCCTAAGTGTGTTAAATGGCACCCACAGTAGACCTCAAGAAATATCTTTTGATTTTCTGAAAAGTCATCTATTCTTATTTAAACACCTTAAAACCTTTAGACCTTACTGTTGGATATTATTGTATAGACCCAACCTATGATTAGTGCATCAAGCTTCAATTCTTTTCCTGTTTCCATTGGTCCCAGTGAACAAAAAGTGTGAGATATTCTAACTTACTCTTATCCATCCCATGCTTCAGTTTTCCAAAGCAGATAAACATCAATATGTGAGAAATATACTTAAGTAACTGTTCCTCCACAGAAAGATAAATTTTGGAAAAAATAGAAGAGAAAGGTATTTTCAGAATTCATCTTCAACTCTTGATCACTAGCCACTTTCATCAGTGTATCCTGTAAAGTTGTAATGAAATTTGAATTATCCAAATATTTTGATAAAATACATGCATGCATTCCAGACCCGTGAATTGCTTATTTGTGCATTTTCCTTTGCTAGAAAATAAAATACAAATTCATAAGACAAAAAAAGGATAGGGAGTATGGACAGGTAGAAACTATGTAGCTAATTATTAGCTTGTTGCTGGTTTCTTATAAAAAACTGATAGGCTAGTACTTATTTTCTTGGATAAAGTAATTTATATCTCTTTCTGAGATTACAGGAGGCCCCTAAAAATATTATCAGGCATTATTGAGTTCAGGATAGTTGCAAATATCAAAAAGAAAGAGTAAAAATGCTTATGCCTCTTGGCTTTTGAGACTGTAAGGACAGGAGCATTGACAGATAAGAAGGTCAAGAATCTTGTTGCTCTATCAGACACAAGGGCAATCATCACCATGGAAGTAAGGATAGTCTATAAAGCACAGAGATGGGCTAACAGTTTGTAATGAAAGAGTCAGCAGTGTTTAGTCTTGGATGTATTAGGATATGGACCTGGGTAGTATTTTCGTTATATTCTTCAGAACAATAGCAAAGCCATACAATGTTTTTGGTTTTCCATAGCAATGACTTTCTGACCCACCTAACCACAGACTCTCAGGATCCTCTTATGGTCCAAAGAGATTGAGACTAAAATCATCTCAAGGTGACAGGGGCCACAGCTGTGGGGGAAAATAATGGAAGCATAAATTTGGACTTTGATGTGTCAAGAATAACTTTTAGTGTCCTCGAGAAATAGTAATTCTAAATAAACATGAAAGACCCAGCTTGCAGTGGGCTTGGATCTGGAGGTTAGTAAGAGATTGGACAAACATAACATTCAGCATCCTCTGGGGGAAGTGGGGGGGATAGCTCTTCCTGAAGGCTGCTTCCTTGGAGGTGGGGGAATAAGGCATGGGCTTAAGGGGATTTAGAATCTGCCAAGAGGAAAAGGAAGAAATCAAACATCCCAAAGCGGAGCCTTGGCCTAAAGAATGACAATGTTAGTGTTAATAGCTTTTAGATTCATTAACAAGACAATTGTTATGTGATTAAAGAGTAACAGAGGGGTAACATGGAAACCATGAATGTGTAATGTAATTCATTTTTCATCTTCCAGCCATGAATACAACAGAGATGAATGGATAAGATTGCTACATTATAACATAGTTTGTTTTACACCAATTCACCGCATTGTGTTAACATATTTCCAATAATGTGATCTAACAACAGGATAGATATGTTATATGTGTCTCTATTCAACTGCAAATCAGAGTGCCTTTCTCTACCGTAGAATGCCTTAGATTACACAATGTATTTATTTCTCTCTTTTACGCATCACAATCTTTGAGTTGATCTGCTTTTGAAGGTTTTTTTGGCTTCATCCCTGACTTTATACTATCTAATGTATTAATTTGGGAGAACTTTACCTCCTATTTCTTTGTCTCCAGTATGTCATCAGGAACTCAGAAATCTTATTTCTATTACATTCTTATATTTAGTACCATGTTCTAAAGGGGGTGCCAGGGTGCTTATTGTGGAGAGAACCATGAGCCATGGTACCTGAGTATATCTATGGGAGGGTGAAAGAAAAGCATACTCAGAAAGAATCGGATATCCATTTCCTTCAAAAAGTGATAGCAACAGTGATCAGTTAAGGAGGTGGGCTGACTGCTTTGTGGGTCCGAGCATCATCACTTAGAAAGTGATCTCCAGACTATTTTGATAAAATATACTAATGCATGTACTTTGAATATAGAATTGTTCATAATTTAAAAAAATCAATTATACATGCCTTACTATACTAATATATTATGCATACTAGAAAACATGCAGAAAGTTTAGAATTTTAAGACATGGGGAAAAGATGAGAAAAATAATTTTAAGTTTAAATCTTTAAATTTTAAATGTAAAATTGCTATATATATTTTTTTACTATTGGTAACTCAGGGCATCCTATACCCTTAAGGTTTACCATGAAAAATATAGTTGTAAATTGCCTTTTGGATAATTTTGAAAAATTGTGGTTAACTTCTCCAATCTAATTAGATAATTTTTACACAAATAAGAATTTTTGAGAAAGAGCTAATATTAAGGTAGGAGGTAGGTCATGTCAGTTCTTTCATTTTCTCAGTCATTTGTGTTTAAAATGTAATATTATTATCAATCTCTGAATTCCAAGCAGAATTTAGAAAAAACTAATTATCTATATTGCAGGGTTTAGTTTAATTTAGATAATATAATCTGTAGATCCACTAGAGAAGGTTTCTGCAAGTTTAAATACCTTGCCAGAAGCTAAAATCTAAAGAATGAGAGAGATGGTGAGCTATTCTCATCCCTCCCTCAGGAAGCCTACTGTACAGCAGTTGACACTAAACTACCTGACATATGAAAACCATAGATATAAAATGTAATGTATTTTTCATATTCCAGCCCTGGAAAACAACAGAGAAGAATGGATAAGACTGCTGTAGTGTAATCTAGCTTGTTTTATAATTATTCATCATAGTAGCTTGACTTGGACAGCATAAGGGCAGCGTTGTCCATCCCCATATTAAACCTTAGACAACTTTCTTCCTTATTAGATCATAATAAATTTAAAGAGAAATTCTAATATCTTCTCCCTGTGTTCAGTAGATCTGATCTTCTTGCCCCTCCCCTGGGGTACCTCCTCCCCCCATCCCACCCCCTCGCCCACCCACCTGGCAGATCCCTAAGCCAGAAAATCAAAAGGGATCCTCCAGAGGGAAGAACAGAAATGGGCAGGCTTATTTTTCCATGCCTCTTGTAAAAGTAAGCAAGGACTGTTTTAGTTCCTGCTTTATTTACTTCCCTGCGGTCTGCTTCTCCCTCTAATGTACACAGCCTCACACCTTTTTGAATTTTCTCCCAGCTCTGGTCTAAAGTAATTTTGGTGCTGAAGGGCAGAGGGAGGGAAGCTGCATGCTCAGAGTGGCCATGTAATACACAACAGCTGATCTCTTCTGACATTTATCTCTGCTCGTGAGAGGAGATGGAACAGCTCAGTCATGAAGATGAATGTCATACAAGAGCTCTGCCATCATGCATCCTTCCCAGGGATCTCAGGAGAGAGATTTGGTGCTATACAGAATATTAGAAACTCTGCAGACACAGGGCAGCCTGGTGACTTGACTGCCCTGCTTATTAGATCCTGTTAAGTGAAATGATGCTCCCATGTTAAACAGAGCCATCGTCATTATAAGGTTATCTAATTCACTCTCTATCTTGGCATTTGCTTCTTTCATGCACACACAGAAAAAAAAAAAAAAAATTCCCAAAGATAAAATTAAAAAAAAATGACTTCCCAGCATATTTTAACGTACAAATGGAAGGAGACTGAGTTCATAACCATGCATTTGTGTACTTTGCTCCTTGCTTCATTGAAAGCTTTATGATTTTAAAAGTGCAGACCCTTCCGAGGATAAATTGTTCAGGGAATGGGAAAGCAAAGGGGAGCCTTTTAACTATGGAATGGCTGATCTGTCCATATCATCTTTGACCCAACATGCATCTAGGATCTGGCATATTTGAGAGCACACTTGATTTACACCAGGCTTCTCCGCCAAGAAGAGCAGATCAAGGAGAGAAAGTTTCTGGAGTGAAACTTCTACCACTCATTAATGATGTGACCTTGGGGCAAATTATTCCAGCCTCTCTCAATTTCAGATTCCTCATCAGTAAAAGGGGATAATAATGGTATCTACTTGATAAATCTGTGCTGAGGATGAAGTGAAATGAGATAAAGCACATGGAAATCTTACAACAGCATCTGGTGCATAGTGGATGTTCAGTGAGTATTAGCAATTGTTAGTAATTAGTAGAAGCTTCTTAGTGGCATCAAATACCAGTGACATAAAGAATCACAGTGGTATGAATAATTTTCTCACTGGCTATCATCTGGATTATTTTACATCCCTTCTCTTATTTTAGACTTCAGGTTTATAGGTATCTCTGATTTATGAAAACCAAAACTTCAAACACTTACTTGCTGAATTGAACCAAAAGACCTCTTGTCCTTTTATCCATTCTTATGAGACAGGTGATAAAATGAAAAATAATCTTGTTTTGGGGGTAAGCCCACACCTAGGGTTGAATCCTGTTTATTGTGCTTGTTGTGTGGAGTTCCTCAAGACACTTCACATCTCAATTTTCCCAGTCTGTAGAGTGTGCATAATAATACCTTGAAAGGATATAATTAGGATTAGAGATAAGATATGCCAAGAATTCTAATTATTACTTCTAGAGTCTTAGGTCCATTTATTCTACAGGCCTTAGCTGAACAGCTGCTAAGTCCAGGTACTGTGCCAAGCGTGAAGATATACAGACAAATAAGCATAATCCCTGCCATAAAGCATGGGCAGTGAGGGAGAGGCACAATGTGATAAGAATTATGTAAAAGGGTGGATATTGGGGAAGACTTCATGAAAGAGGAAACACTTGTGTTGAGTCTTGAAGGAGGAAGAAGAGTTGGCTACATGAGGAAGAAGCAAAGCATTTCTATACAAAGGAAGAACATGGGAACCATGTGAAATATAAAGGATGAATGTCACTGCCTTGCAAACATCCCTCAGTATGTTCATATCATAATTGGGAAAACAAAAAGGACTTGATAGGATCTCACTTTATCATGGACAGATCTAATTGTAGCAAGCCAAGTGTTTCACTTTGGAGATTTATGGAACATTTCACTTTGAAGAAGGTGATCTTGGGAAAGTTTAAAGGTTTCTGAAGATGAAACCTTTGCTAAAGGTGGAGTCATCTCCGGGACTCTCCCACTACAATGCAGCCACCAGGAGACTCCAGTGGGGAAGCCTGACGTTTGCTTTAGTTTCACCTACAGTTTAGACCCTGGATTAGGGTTGCAATTGAATCTCCTTTAGCTGAAACTCATGCTAAATGAGGTGATTTTCATTTTTCTTAAATTCCAGCCATCAGCAGCCATCCTGAAGAGGGCTGGATTATTAGTGGGGAGCTTTTAGTCTTGCCCACAACAATCTTGCCCATGAAGCTACAGCAAGGGTGTACAACAGGGTGTGTGTGTGTGTGTGTGTGTGTGTGTGTGTGTGTGTGTTTTGGGAGGGTGAGGAGGTAGATTTTATAGCCCAAACTACCATTCTAAACTTTCCTTAAATCACTAGAACCTTGGTCCACAGAAGCTCAAAAGCTAAAAATTATTCTATTTTATTTCTCTCTCCATTTCACTGTAGCTGTTCCCTGCCTGGAGTTCAGTTTTGGTTTGAATTGTGGAAAGAGCCTAGGGATAGGAATTTCATAGTCTTTTTTTCAGAGAGAGCAGCAACTAGGGTGCATTTATTTCCTCCTGGGCCTGGCAGGCTGGGAGCAGAATACAGACAAAGGCACTGGGGCCTGGGGCCTGTTATGGCCTGGAGTTCAGCTGCCTGGGTGGTAACTGAATGGGTGTGCCAGGGTGTGTAGGGACTGGAGTGATCCTCCCAGAACTGAGAGAAGGGCCCTTGGGGTGTGCAAGCAACACAAACGTTGGGCTTGGCACAGATGCAAGAGAGGGGTTATGGAGTAGATGTGAGATGGGTGTGCTGGGGCAGGGTGTGTTGAAGCATGTTGGGCCCTGGCTGTTGACTGAGAATCTGGGTGCCAAGGGCTAGGAGAACAGAAATGCCTGTGGGTCAGCAGGAGCCATGAAGATGTGACTGCAAACAGGATCAACCCTGGGGGAGACGGAAGAGTCCAAGGTGATTCCTACAGCGAGGTGATGAGGCGGCAGGTCTGGGACTCCCGTTCAGGAATACATGGTCAGCTGTAGCCACTCCTGGGTGTTCACCTGGATTTGTCCAGTGCCATCTTTGTCAAGAGATTTGAAGGCACGGAATATGGCATCCAGTCTGACCAGGCAGCTGATGAAGTTGTCAAAATCCATGTTCCCTCCCTTATCTGAGTAGCGTCAGATGATCATGTTGTAGAGATGCTCATTCAGGCGCAATCCTGTTGCCTCAAAGGCCCCTGGGAGTTCACTGCTGCCAATGGCCCCTGAACGGTCAATGTCAAACTGTTTGTATATGGCCTGCCACTTTTTGATGTTGTTCCACAAGTACGTGAATTCCTCGAAGCCCAGCTTGCCGGTCGTGTCACTATCCATAACAGCCACCATGCTGGGACATGTGACAATGCCAATACCATCAGTCTTCAGATCAGGATGTCGGGTCATGACTTTGTTGAGAATGTTCATGAGTTCTGTGGCACTGACCTCCATGTCCTCTCCAGCCAGCTGGGCAAAGAGCCTCCGGAACTGCCGGGCCTTCTCACTCTCATTGGCCTAGATGTTGGAGAAATAGTTCGTGCGAGGGGGCGGAGGCTCTGGGTTGTACTGCGCAGCCGCCTCACTAATGGCGCTAGTGACCCCGCCCAGGATGCGCACGGAAGTTCCGGCGCCGCCGCCGCTGCCGCTGCTTCCTTCTCTTGTGCCGACGCTGCTGCCGCCGTCCCTGCTGCAGCCACCGCCACTGGCCCGCTGAGCAGGCCTCCGAGCACATTCCCTAGGCCCCCGCCCAGGCCCCCGCCTCCCCCGCCGCCTCTTCCACCCTTCAAGAACGAGTTAACCAGGAACATGGCTGTGACTCAAGATTCTGCCTCGCTCGCGCGTCGGCCGGTCAGCTAGTCTCCATATTCTTATTTTTACTCTCTCTCTTGTTCTCTCTGGTGGCTGGTGGTGTAGCATAGAATTTGCTTAGGATGAATGTGCCTGTGATGTGACTTCAGTGTACTTAGTACAGTGGGAGGCCTGAAAACAAGCAAGGCTCATGTCAGATGAGACCACCCCCACAGGCCTCGGGGGCATCTTATTAATCTTGAGGAAAGATGCAAGCTCTGTCTCCACTGCATGTAGGTGAAAAACTTGGGGATGGCAAGGCACTAGATGTATGTTTGCACCTGCTTTTATCTTCATGAATATATATGTGTGGTGTGTGTGTTTTCACACTCGTGCATGTGAAGCTCTATTCCACATTCTGATTGGTTGTCAAAATGTTGACCATTTGACCAAAATGTTGACTGGCTCATTTCACTTAGAAGAGAGGGGTAATTGACTAGGTTCAGTTAGGTGTAAACTAAATGTGTGCTGCAGTGGAGCCCTGAAATCAGAATGAATAAAGGTAGAGCATATGTGGTTTGCATGCTTTCTGAGTTACCATCTGCTTCTTTACATACTTGCTAATAATCAGAGCCTTAGCTTCGGAGAAACTATAGAACTTTGGGGAAATCTAGAGAAAATAGACTCAATTAGGTAGCAAGATCCAGATGGCACCATGGGTAAAGATGCCTTTTGGGGGACTTTGCTGGTGATCCAGTGGTTAAGACTCTGCTTCCAGTGAAGCGGGTGCAGGTTCAGTCCCTGGTCAGGGAACTAATACCCTGCATGCAGAGCAGTGTGGTCAAGGAAAAACAAAAAAAAAGTTGCCTTTTTGAAGTTTCTAGTCCTGTAGTCACAAAGGATATGGGTCCTATTAATAGGTTGCTGAAAAGCTGGTACATCGTTGGGGATTTCCTTCTTTCCC